CGTAATATAATATTAATCGGCCTGTACTGACGTGCGTCCGTGGAAGTCGAAGGGTGGTTCTGCTGCGGCCAGATTGCCAACCGAAGGGAGACAATGAGGGAAGGGGAGGTGCTGATCAAACACTTGATTAAAGAAAGTTTCCGATAGCTACTCCGCGCGAGAAAACCGACGTCCCGGCCGTGGTGATTGGATAAGGTAACCAAGAATTTCCACATCCCCTGCACCTCTCTCGTCCCTCTTTATCCAGTCGCCGATACCGTTCTTCCTCCCTTCATTCTAAACTCGAAAGTTCTTCGAGGTATAGTCTAGCTGACGAACGTTCGTTTTCGTCACGACAGATATTTCGCCATTGTGGTATAATGACATTAATATACAGTTCTGTCGCTGTTTGCTCGCTTGTTATGCATTTTAAGATAAGCGGAATGATTCGTCCGGAATCCTACAATTGCAATCATTTCTCGTATCGAATGTTTGCACTTTCCTGAATTTATGATATGACATTATATATATTTAACAAATTATTTTTTATGTATTTTTATGTATGTCATAATTATGTATAATTTTTATCTTTATATATTTTAATTGATATAAATAATAATATGTAGAATTTTATATATGAATATAATAATGCGTTTATTATACGTACTTTTTCAACTGGCTTTTCTCAATCGTTAACACTTCCATTTATCATGTTAAAAAACGAAGATCAATTAGAATTATATTACCTCTACCGTTGCACTGAACGATTTATGCGATTTGCATAAATCTTGTTGAAAGACGGTTATTAAAATATTAAATATTCCAACGAAAGATGGGCGCGCCTAACGTTAAACGACTAATCCGATTACACATATATTAAATATCGGCGCGTTTGACGACTTCGATCCGTCGAGACGGAAACAGTTTAGAGGAGAAGTTAACGACATGCAGATATGAAAGGCCGCAGTTTTTAAATGACTCAAAAAGAAAAGTTAAGTGGAAGGCCTGAGAAGGGAGAGGGAGGCGTAGGACAAGACAATTTCGAACGGACGAAATGTAAATCGAGGAATGAAGGTAACGTTGCGGAAAATTAAATACCATTTGAATAACGCAAATGCTAATAGAATTATCGGGCTGATCGATTAAAGCAATAATACCGCCTGTCTTTCTGCCACTTGTGTCAGTTCTCGCCTTCATTCCCCTTATCTATCGATGCTCCTCCCTCCCATTCTTTTTCTCCTAACTTCCTTTCGTATCTTTTCCGTACCGCTGTCTTAACGAAGAAAAACTGCCCTCTATTCAAAATCCTTCCGTTTCCGAAAAGATCTTTCCTCTTTTCTTTCTATCTAAAGCCATTATTCGTGTAGTCACGATTTCTTCTTTACTTTTTCGCAAGCTTTTTTGCTTCTCCAAA